TAGGTCAGATCTTGATCACCAGGTTAGTGACATTCGATTTTCAAAAGAATTGGGCAATACAATGCATTTCCTTGGAAATCTCGAAATTGTTTTAATTTTTTCTAAAATGGTGATGCAATATAAATGTACTGCATTATCCAGGTGGTAAATTACCGAAGGCACCACATTTCTCCGAAATCCAAGCGGAAGTTTTGATGAAACCGGAAGTTCGGTTTGCGTTTGCAACAATTTTGTGACCAAGAATAATCCGGTTGCAAGCAAATCGATCTGAAGGACGCAAACACTTGATCAGGTTTTAGCATTACTTAAATCAATCGTATGTGATCAGGCGCCGCACTTGCCCGACCTGCGGTCATTGTTATCAATGTTTGTTCAGTTGGTAGTCCAATGTCCTTAAAACAATTTACCGTTTTATTTAATCCATTGCAAACAGTGAATAAAACGTCAACATCTTGCAGTATTTATTTTTCTCTGAGTGCCAAACAGTGAAATTTGTTTCATCCCTGAACATTTATTAGAGACTATTGACGGATAAATGTTTGTGATCGAATTATAGTTATGCCAGAACTGGGCACGGAAAAGCTCAGTCGATGACTTTGACAGAACCGAGCTGAATGATTATGACTAAAATCTTAGTTATGGATGTCACTAAAGACTACACGACGAGGGTATACGTATACATAGTCGAAGCATAATCTACGTAAAACCATACCAAAGTACTTGTGATGAAAACAACGAGACAAATGTGGAGTTACTTCATTAAACATCGGTCCAGTCAGCTGAATGTGTGTCAATTCATATTCAATTTATTCTTCACATTTCTATCCCCTTTTTGAATGACCTTATCCTTGCCCATCTCATTCCTCAAGCAAATTTATTCATTTGGTAGATAATACTTACATCATCTTACGCAAATATGATACACTTGGCACACCATTATAAATATTAACAAGACCATTTAGTACAGACCTGTGCGCACTGTGCCGAACACATATTTGAGTCAGCAGTCAAATAGGGTTGATTGTGAAAAATGATACAATGTCTACGATTCCCGGTTGTTTGAAGACGAAAAATGCAAAAGCTTTGTGGCACACCACAATTTACTTCACTTTCGGTTCCCGAACTTTCGATCCTTGTTAATATACCGTCGAACCAGTGCTCAAGAAGCGAAAATCTAAAAGGAATCATACTGATACGCAACATACTTTTTAACCAACGACGATGGATAGTGATCTAACATCGGATTTTAAGGTCAGGTTTCAGCTTTTCATTTGGTGTTCGCACGAAGCAAATTGACGTTTGACCAACAGAAAGGAATCACAAAGTGCACCGTGACCCGGTGCAGTTTTGTAAACAAAGTAATCCCAATCACCTCAGGACCCAAGTGTGTTTACAAACTTGTTTTCTCAGCCTCCCTTCGCGCAAAGAAATGTTTTCAATTCTCATGCTAATCTATTCAAGTCTTTCTGTCAGGTAAAACCACTGTCACACCTCCCTCCCGCCACACCCCCGATTTGCTGCACCGTTTGCATGCTTCCACAAGGTGATAAATGCTTGTGAGGCGTGTAAGGATGGAACATGGTAAAGATTTTCCTGTGATAGAACAGTCAATGCAATTCGTGGCTATTTGACATGACACCCCCGTTCGGATTGCGTGTTAGAATTTCAGTGCTTTGGTGTGTACTGGAGGTGAATGAGCGTACTGAATAGGTTTTTTGAACAAAACAAAGCGAGAAACGAAATCGTTTGATATGTTCGTCACCAAGCGGTTCATGTAACAAAAGGTAAGAATTTTAGCTCGTTTCTTTAAAATTGGATCAGGATTTTCCCGAATTATTTAAACAAACGCGATTGGACAAATTTTCTTGCGCTAGTTATAAGTAAAGAAACAAAACTCTGTGTGATATCTAATTGTGTTGTTCATCAGAAGATTACGATTATCGATTCAATAGTTTGAAGGGATTCGGAGCCAAAAGAAATACCATTTTCCTTACTCAGTAATCTCGGCATTTCATTAATTGAATGATATAATCAGTAAAAACAAAGTGATAAGTTTTAAAGCCAAACTTTCAATGCCCAATTGAAATAGGCATGATAATTCTGAGGCGGTGAATTTTGAAGGAAAAGTGAAATAAATTGACCCACCTTCTGTTATGGAATCTTGAAAATCAATTTAAAGTAATATTTCACTTGTGTTTTAATAACGTTTTCCTACATCTGGAAAATCATGACTGAACCACACAATAGGGTTACGGTTGCGCGTAAGTTATTGCGACCTTTTAAAAAAAAATAATGGAAACATCGGCACCAAAAGGATATTTTAAATTTGAATAGAAAGTTAGTCGAATGAGCTGTACCCATAAAAGGCGGTCTTAAATCACCAGAGTGGACCGAGCGGGCGATGGGTTGGGTGGCTGCTTTAGCATTTATTCCAAGAGTCCCAGTATTTACATTCATAACGAGGCAGTTGGTCAGAATACTATGTCAGTAAGAAGGAATTTTTAGGCGATGTTGGACTGGCATGCATATGTGGCTTACATATCAGTAATAGAGAAAACCAGATAAAATAATGCAGTTCTAAGTTAAAAATAAAGTAACTTGCCGCTGATCCACTCTGTGTATCAATAAATTGCACCAAAGATAAGTTATCTAACAAACAGAATTGAAAGTTGAAACCAATTATTGAATCAGTCCGGGTAAACGACTTGATTCCGCTGATCATTCGGGTAACGTTTTCTTTACTAATGGAATGAGAATTAAAGAAATGAATAAAATTGCTGATGAAAATTCACAGCTGTTTCCGTAATGTTTGTCCAAGTGTTTATCTATCTTCATCCATCAAACCAGTTCACAATGCGGTTTCCGACCCCCTTAGATCAACAACCTGAAAACATCAACGTTTAGATCGTTGAACATTTGGTTAAGAAAGCAAATCTAGGGTAAACAGGAAGAGTTATCGGCCGAACAAGGAAAGTCTGTCATGGATGTACAGTCTCACATTAATGCCAGTGTATGAGGTCATAACCCTGGGGAACAATCGACAGCTTTTCAGAGTGCACTTATTGAACAAAACTGTTTTTTTCATATTTAGACTTGTTTGCATCCCGGACACGTTACTAAAGGGATTTCACACCAAAAAAATGATACCTGAACCCAAAGAGACTACTGATTTGATTTATCAGTCTTATGAGTTCCACTGTTTGTCAGAATGCTGTTACCTCATCTGAATTTTTCTGATTTTTCAACCAAAACATCCAGTAACCAACAACGTTTAGGCTAATATTTTAAGAAATGGTTTTTCTCTACTGACTGAAACCAGCTCCTAGCATGGATGACCCTCTGTGGATGTGACTTAACTCAAACGGAGAGGGGCGGGAGGTCAAATAACGCAAAACGGTTATTGATCAAACTGAAGAAAAGAAAGATTTCACATATTCGTGAAACAAAATCGGAAATACCTACCTTACTTAAATCCGGTGCAACTCGCATCAATCGGCCTCACATAAGTAATCTGCTGTCAGTCTAAACATTAGAAATAAATTTAAATCAATCAATTCCCTGTATTACTCATTTGAAATCAATTCACGGTGTGGAAGATTTCGGAACCAGTTTTATTCACTCCTGGCCAAAAACGAGTACTGAACTGTTTTAACTCACTTTTGAAGGCTCATCAGTAGTGCTTGTTAGTTTTATTTTCCGGGACCGGCTCAAATGACACTCTTTGGGTTCAGAGCCTTAAAGCTGAACCGGAGAGCTATACATTCAAAACGACCCAGACATAATTGGATTTGCACGATGTGTACCCCCAACTGCGCTTCCTAGCTTGTAATGTCATAAGATTGTGATTTACACTTAGTTGATCTTTGCCAAACAAGAACAGATGCATTTTTCAGATTTGTTTCTAGCGCGAATGGAGTACGCATTATCCAAATTTATGGAATAAAAATTGTTAGAATTCCGTACGAGACGAAGTGTCCATTCTGAA